AGTTGGGAAAAGATCTTCTGGGTCCATTGCTCGTCTTGGACGCTTGTTGTTGCATGCCAGCGATACAAGCAATTGAACTGTATAATGTCATTAGGTTTTCTGATACCTATAAGCGCGTTTACACACCTCCACACTACATTGATTACCCTTTCCGCGCTCGAAAAGAGTATGATCGGGCATTCTCATTTCCTGATAACATTGTGGCAAGAAGTAAGATGCACTGAATGATAGAGAAACTCTGAATTACGTACATCGAAAGGAGTCAGACTCCAACTGCTCCCATCTCTCACAAGCCCGAGAATGGAAGAAAAGTAATCAGAGAAGACAACTATAATGCTCATGAAAAAGAGGTGACGACAATCTCAAATAAGGACACACCCATTCCAAACCATCCGCAGTTAATCAGCCTAGCTGTCTGGAAGATGTCTTCTTCTTGAGCTACTAATTTCACGTTCTCAGCGGGGTTGTCTGGCGAAAGTGTTTCCGGGTCTACATATTTGCCCCGCTCGTTTATTTTTAGGAGCTTCGCCGCGATATACTGCATCACGGTGAGGTTAATTTAAATTTGAAAACGTGTACGGGAAACAAAATGCTAACGTTGTGGTTCCGATTGAAGAGAACTAATAAAGTGCAAACTGCTGGTGGGAGGAGTAAAAGTCTGTCTTCGGCGAAGGCATCTGGATGAAGCATTCCGCGACCGTTTTTGTTTCGGACAAGGTCCTGGTCTTTCTGACTATTGCCGTAAAGGGGAGCCAAGTCAACATAAGAGGAAGTCTCATTGATGTTGGGGTCACGATGAGAAGTACGAAATACACTGACAAATGTATGAGCCATGACCATTGTCAGATAATCTAATAGAATTACCTATGGATCACCAATGCTGCAAATGCAAACATAAGAGACGATAAACCAGCTGGGTGCTTCACAAACTGTACACATAGGAATCAGATTAAAGTCTAGGTCAATGTTAAGTTACGCACCTTCTCTCGCCGCAAAAGGCTGGATTGTTATATAACAGAGTAAGTGGGGAATCCAGGCCTCATGTGACACTATGAACTCACGTATCGAAGACAAGTCCAGGATCAGGAAGCTGATTGCGTGGCAATGGATGGGATTGCTGAACGGATCGAGAATAAGGAGTGCCAGCCTAAACAGGTACAAGATTAAGAGGGAATGGATGGATTACAGTCGCATTGATAGACCTTTCCGAGGTTGGGAACATCAATATTGTTATAAGAACCATCGGCGGTGCGCCACGCATACTGGCTGCTGACTTGAGTGGCAGGGGGATGTGCGAGATCGTTATAAACTGTAGATAGAACACCATGTCAATCGAAGTGATGAGACACACACTATATTTAGGGGGTCGACTAACGAAGCTGGATGATCTTGTTCCTGAGGCTGAGAGCGATAGGGCCTTCAGGCAGCTTAGAGACAAAGGACAGCGCGTGCTCGAGCTGCCAATGATTCTCAGTTACAATTCTCGCTGCGTTTGCACCAGGCTAAGCAGGAGGCTCGTAAGACATACCAGCAGTTTCCTGTCATCGATAGAGTCTTTATGCCTCAAAGCATCGACGACAGCAGCCTGTATGAATATTAAGCTATGATCATTTCAGAAACCACGAATCTGTCGTACCAAGGTACTAGTATCCAAATGAACGGGCAATCCTTTAGAAATCTGGTGTAGCGTCAACCTTTCTATCTTTTTTGTAAGAAAAAGTACAGCCTATGCATACCCGTTCTCGGAACTCTTTCAAAACTTTTGGGGCGTTGGCGCTGTTGATAGTTTGGTAGTCCTTGTCAACAGCAGGAGCTCCGTTACTTTGCGCCCCAGAGGATTTAGCCTAAGTTCGAGTGAGTAAGCAGGCAAAACTGCTGCAAGCTGCTACTTACGTTGTTAGGTCTGAAAAACGCCATTCCGTTCGCGGAGAATTGAGTGAGGTGTTGGTCAGGGAAGAAAGTGGGAGCTCAGCAAGAAGTCGGAGTAAGCAATCTGAGCGCGTCGCTTTATGGGACCCCGACCATCGAGACCTAAAGGCTTCTGACAGCGGGAATGTTGACTATCTTTACAACCGCTGACTCCATATAGGAAACCGTAGATCACAAGAATCACGCTGGGGCGAACAAGGCCCGATTGTACATATTTTAGGAGTGCTGGAGTTTGAAGCAGCCGATTTGGGCCAGGGAAATGAAATGTGATGAGGGTGATAGTTCGGTACATCTGCAAGATTATCCACTGTTATCCAATGGAAACCAGTGCTCGGAGATGGCGGACGCCGCGCAGGTCGTGCGAGCCGCGAATTAATTAGATGATTGAATGAGTGGCGGAGTCTGGATGACCTTGAATGCTGCACGCCTGGGGTAACACTGCGATAGGTGACTGTTTGACCGTCTCTGCTATTCCTCGCCTTGAGAGCAACATGGAAGTAAGTAGCAAACGACAGTCGACTAAAATATGCCACAACAACCATGTTCAAATTAGGAAATTACTGATTATAAGAGAAATTTACGTACACTTTGCCCATTCAACATCATATGCGTCTGAGAAACCCTAGCAGCGGAGCATTGCTTAGAATCTACAATTATAATCGTAACAAGATAACCGGTTCCAATATCTTTACACCAATGATAACATCAATCAGACATTCAACAGTTGTAACCTGGAAGACGGACTTTTTAAATCCTTAATTAATCATTTATGTTCCGTGCTTATTTTTCAAGCTAAACCAATGGTCCATGGAGGCAATCGATTACGCCATGTCAGGCCTCATATAGTCATATTCCACGCCAGGACAGAACATGAACATGGAAGACATATCGACCGACTCACGAGTCTCCGGAAAATCTGAAGCGATTTCATAGCAAATCCTGCACTCCATATTCGCGAACAATCGTGGACGTCAACGCAAATATGTTGACCCAATCGACTCTGAGATACAGGGGTTAAGGGTTGTCCAGTAATTAATGACGCGGCGAGTCCTAGGCAGACGTAGCTGCCACGGCTGGCTGGATGAATGCCGAGGCATACTGGTCAAACATCTCCGCCTTCTGATTGCTGTCCTGAACGAGAGGGTGCAAGGGATGTTTAGCAGCAAATTTGCTGAGTTGAGTCCAAGTGAGTATAAAGGAGATGAACAGGAATTTATCTAAGACTTACGACCAGAGTTCTTCCGCGTCTGCTTTCTTGAGTGCGCCAAGCCCTGCAGCAACGACCAGGGCGGCCTCGGTTTCTTCATCTTCCTTGCTTTGTTGCAAAGACTCATCCAGATCCGACTTAGCTTCCTGGATTTCTCCTCGCAATACACGAATGACACCCCTAGCCGTTAACAAATGCGATGAGGATAGCGAAGGGTTTCCTATTTGTTCCGTATAAAACGAGCTTGAATTGGCGTAGTTATCCTTTCCAGTCACCAGTCCAATTGTCGATTCTATGAGTTGCAACAGTAGATCATCTTCGGCCCACCGTTTAGAGCGGTCGAATTGCTTCTTCGCCAAATCAGGGCGGGATATAGAAAGATATATCTGTACAATAAGCGCTACCCTTCATATCAAATAAAAGTGGGTTAGGGAAGAAGATAAGTCAATGTAGAATGCAACAACGTACGCTTCCAGATCTTCTGTTTCTGAGCCTAGTGTCTCTAGTGCCTCCTCGACTTCGCCTGCGCGTGCGAATGCAGTGCCGGCAAGTACCCTAACTAGAGATTTATCCTTCTCACTTGCCTCTGCATCGTCTCCCTCAATCTCGACGGCGAGATCGCGTAATTCCTCCAGTGCGGCTTCTGACTCGGTGGAATCGGAAGCAGCCATAAATCGCGCCAAAGACGAGACAGCCTTTAGTGCAACATTGTCAGAGTCTGTTGGTATGATCTCCAGGGCGGATTGAGGTTTGTTCAGAGCGATATATGAACGAGCTTTATACAGTAGAGACGGAGTGTAGTCGGATGATGATTCGTCGGGAAGTGGCTGTTGAATAATTGCCTGATAGGCGGCTACGTTGCAAACTGAGCATCGGAAACCTTTCAGGCAGAGTAGAACCTATTCACCGAGGGTAAATTGTTGTTGTGTATGGTATAAATCAGAAGAATCCATAATTGGGCTTGACCGTCGATGTAAGTACTGGACAAGGACTTTCAGCAGGCGCCGACGTGTAACGCATCACATTACGTAAGTAATGGCTCTCGAACTTGCTTCGAACTAAAAAAATACTCAAAACATACTGGTGGTTTGTTACCGCCATTGATTTTTTCCTCATGACTCAGCGCTCATCATTATGTACCGCAGCTCGAGTTTCCAACTGTCTAATTTTCCGCCGCATGATATTTGTGCATCATCAAAATAGACATACTGGACAGTATGCTTGGGACTAGACACCACCATACTCAAACGATGGGAAACTCAAGGGATTGGAGTACCTCAAAAGTAATATTAGTACAAGCAAAGCAAGTGCTGCGTCTACTTTGGCTTTTTTTCACAAGTCCGCGTGGGAAATGGACTTACGTTTTTCACGATTTTTACCGTCTACCATAAAACTATTACTTTCTACAGCAAAAATGGAACTGTCGGTAGCCGGAATCGAACTGGCGGCTCCGAGATGTGAGGCCGGTAGGAGTCCCGAAGGGGCTCCGGACGGCCGAACTAGGCAATTTATCGCGGAGCGACTGCGGGCCCCCCCAGGGCCCGCAAAGGCAAATTTTCGCGAAGCGACTGGGCCGGCGGAGGCCGGCCGCGGGCCCCCCCGGGGCCCGCAAAGGCAAATTATCGCGGAGCGACGCGGGCCCGCAGGCCCGCAAAGGCAACTTATCGCGAAGCGACTGGGGGGGTGTCTATCGCGAAGCGATGCAGGCCGGAGCGAGGGAGGAGGATCCGCCAGTGTTTATCATGGAGCGAGGGAGGAGGATCCCAAAGCAGTGGTATTTATCGCGCAGCGACATTGCATGCACCCAACTGACCGAGCAATGCTGCAAAAAATGAATTGACGTCTCTGTAAATTAGAAAATGAATGTCGGTAGCCAGAATTGAACTGACGGCTCCTCGGATATAGCTAAATCCACAACGAGGTGATTTAACCACTAATCGATACTGACTTGTAAAACTGCCGAAAACTGGTTTATACGTAGTGAACACCGTCCGGCATTTCCCGCGCCTCCCCAAATGTCTTACTGCAGCCCTGTTTCTTCTCTACCTTTTACCACCAGCTCCAAGCAGCGCGCCAGTCTTCCAGATATCCCCACGTCGTCCCTCTCAGCCCTCCGCCACTACACATCGGGTGTCGGCGGAGTACCGCGACGCGGGCTGAAGTGCCACTGCGCACCAGTCGTCGTGGCGCACCAACACAAAACGGCGCACGAGGTATGTCCACGCTCACCGTGCCACAGCGCCAATCTTCCAGCGATCCCCATGTCGTCCCTATCAGCCCTGGAAGACCACTACACATCGGGTGTCGGCAGATTAGTGCGCGGAGCACCGCGACGCGCGACGCGGGCTCACCCGCGAGGCATTTCTGTGCTCATCGTGGTGACGCGCCGCCCGCACTCGCCGCGTACAGCGCTCCTGGCCCGTGCGGCGCCCGTACATAGTATGTGCTACACGTTCCTATCCTTTCTATGGTCATTTCTGCTACGCACCGGTGACAGCGCGGCCGTCGTCGTATCCGCCGGCGGTGAGCTTTGCGCCATGAGCGATGGTGTTGTTCCGAGCCACCCCGGGGCGGAGGGCGCACAGCAGGTGCCTGATCAAGTAGATATGCGGCTGTATATTGTCGCTATCTGTGACATTTATCTTCTGCCTTTTTCTCTCTGTCCTTCACAGCTCCCCCTGACATTTATCTTCTCTCTGCCCCCAGGAGTATTGCACCACGCTGCGAATCAACAATATGGTTTCATTGCGTATGTCACAAACTCGCACATTGTGCGGGTTTGTGACATGTACTATGTTTTCTTCGGACGCCTTGTGGACGCGCCAGCCCCGCTTCGCCCGTCTCGTCCTAGTACAAGCGTCGTGGGGAGTGTTGTGCTGCGTTCTCGTGACGATGTACGAGGATTTCTTTTTTTTAATAATAAATGGACCTCCTGAAAAGTAACTGCCCTAGACGACAGCAAAGATTCGTGGGACTGGCTTCGGAATAGGCTGTCGTGCATATGTTGTAGTTATTCATGTATGTCACAAACCCGCACAATGTGCGGGTTTGTGACATGTACTATGTTTTCTCCGGACGCCTTGTGGACGCGCCAGCCAACCCGCACAATGTGCTAGTTTGTGACTCTTCTGCCTTTGACGTTTGTCCCAGGACCCAGGAGTGCGGGGTATGTCACTTTACTCGCACATTGTGCGGGTTTGTGACATGTACTATGTTTTCTCTTCGCACCAGATGCCTTGTGGACGCCCCCGTTAACAACATATAAATTCGCACAACAGGTGACTCATAGGCTAGCCTACATAAAACATAATACAGTCTGATTATTGCTGCTTCTGTTCTCGTGCCTAGGACCCATCCCCGCCGCCGCAATGGAATTCGCCGGGCGTACTGAATCGCCACGAGGAGGACGGCACCTTCGACTGCTCGCACTCGGCGTGCTGGCAGCACTGGCCATGGCGGACTCTGGAGCTGCCCCCATCCACCGTAGGCGAAGTGCTTCTGAAACGCACCGTGTGACGCGCGACAACTGGGGTGTGGCAGTCTGTCGCGAAAACACCGAATGACGAAGTTCTTCGTAAGTCCTGCCCGTCCTATGTGGAGAGCAAGGACAGCTCGCCTTCCCAGGCGGTTTCGACGACGTTGTACGACGACGAGGGTGACGCGGGCGAGCAGGATCTGCTTGCGGCGACGGTGGGCCAGACTTGCGCGGCCCGAGTTTGTGACCTACGCCAAGGGCGTCGACGTGCGCCAGCTCAATTGGGCTCGACATCGTGAGCTCGTGCTGGATGAGGATGAGAGCATGGTGCGTTTTGTGCGGTTTGCCGCCCTACAGACGGACGGATATTGAATGTTTTCTTTTGCGCATAGGAGGTGGACAACATCAGCCAGCACACACATGGTGGGCCAGGATGCCAGCGCCCTTCTCATGCCACGACGCGGCGCTCGAGGATGCCGCCACGGCCGGGTGCCATTCGATTTGGCCTCGGGGCGCGTCGCATTTGCGACCAGGAGTCGCCTGCCCGCATTCGAAACCCCCGCGATTCCTGCGGCCAAATCACACGCGCAAAATGTCATGCTGTGCCAGTTTTGGCCGGAGCGCCCATGAAAATCACGGAACAAACTTTGCCGGTACGTTCAGCAGGAGCTGCGCGCATCGAGTGCGCGGTGCACGACGCGGATTCAAGCGGTGCGCCCGAGGGACACTGCGTTCTAGAAAGCCCGGGAATACGCGGCGCGCCTATTTAAGAGGCGTCACATGGGCGCGTTTGGGGCGCGTCTCTTGATCTGCTACTCCCATCATGCCATCGTTTACTGGGAGGCAGCTACGTTTCCTAGACAAATACCTCGCGGATCACGATCTCACTACTCAGGAAGATCTCGACAACGCATTCAATGAATCCGTTATCAAGGAATCCGAGAACATCAAGTCCAGCGAAGCCGAGAAGACGCGGAGCGACCTCAAGCGGCTCCAAGAACTTTTTGAAATGTTCGTCGACATGTTCAAAGGCAAGAAAGAACCTACCCCGTCCCACGAAATCTGGACCCCAAAGGTTGTCCACACGCACATGTTTGGGTTCTTCACCACCATGGTATGTCTTTTTGAAATATATGCTACCTAGCTCATGTGTTGTTAGGTTGATAACACCGCGCCACGAAAGGGACAGTTGCGCATCAAGGCTGCGACACTTCTCAAGTGGTACTCCATGTTCATTCGGCTCGTTGTTGAAAACGTTACGGAGGACGGCAAACGAATCGGAGGATTGTTTCTCAAGGATGAAGACCGCCTTACCAAGCTCAAGGACAAAATTCTTGAACGTAAGCACATATACTACTCTTTTTACATTATCCAATTGTGCATATAGTCATCTTTTCAAAGAAATTGTTGCGCCTTAAGGGCACCAAGCACTTTTTTGCTCAGCCTGAAGTGCAATTACTTCTGGGAACGATGCTCGATGCTTCCAAGCATTCTGGACCGCACCGACAGCGCGTCTTTCAGACGGGGTTGATTATCACGATGATTTTGGTTGGAGCTATGCGCCCATCAACTTTGGCTCCTGCAAGCAAGAAAAATGAAGAACGTGGACTGGTATGCTCCCTTTCATTCTTTGCATGGTAAATAATAACATTATCAGTATCTTCATGTTGGTGATTTTAGGTTTTTTGTACATGGCCCTCTCGACTGGGAGATCAGGATCCACCTCACTAATTTCAAGGTCTGTCTTGCGCATATATCCTGTATGTGTTTCTCACAATCTGCAGGGTGCCTTTGGAGCCCTAGCAACTGAGCAGACCCATGTATATCGGAGCCTGACAAGAGGACACAATCTCATCTTCGACCCCACCATGTGGGCGGTCCTCACTTTTCTCAGTCGTGGGCTGTTTAAAAAGAAGTACAAGGTAAAGTATCTCTTCATCTTTCAGTCACTTTACTGAACAAATGCAGAGTTTGGCCGAGTTCTGCCAAGAAACAAGTGCCGAAATTGAACTTGACCCAACAAAGACTGATGAACCAGCGCAAGTATCATTTTGCTGTCTTTCCATGCATATATTCACATTTTTCTAGCTTTTTGTCCACGAAACCGAGTGGGGAATATGTCCAGCCTGTCAAACCGTTAACATCCCACTCGCTCACCCAATGCTTTGCTACCTGGTGTGAAAAGGCACGCCTTCCACGTACGGGGCCTTATGCAATCCGGCGCGGTACCGCAGACTTTGTACGTCACAAAGTTAATCAAAGAGCCTATCACTAAAAAAAGAAACTAGTTGGGCTTGCTCATGTGCCGTGATATCGCTCGGGGCATCCTCAATCATGCTGCAGGTATAGACGATACATTCCGACGCTATTACTCCAAGAACCTCGCCAATTATCCCCTACCGCAACTCCGACTTGGTGAAGTGGCCGGGATGACAGAAAAGGTTGCCGGAGAAAAGGCCAAGGTACATATAATTCTTTGGGACTCGGGTTTCTTGCTAATAGAACTCAGGAGCAAGAGGATCGCGAAGGCCATCTCCGCATCGCCGTTGAACGATTCACGCGCGTTATGAAGAATGAAGACAAAATGACCACTGCCCAGCGTGAGGCTATCGTCCTGGTAAGCCATATCTCTCATGCTTGCCGCCTTTTGTTGATCGCCATACAGAAAGATCCCGAGGTTGTTGTGCAGTTGGACCTCATCAAAAAGGAGCACGGCATGCTTTTGGAGACGTTGTCGCCAGAGCCGACGCGGGACATTCGCCCAACAACAGGCTCCATCAACCTTCTTATGGCAGCGGTGCGATCAGCCGCCGAGGACTCAGTGGGACCACGCATCATCCCAGGTCTGGAAGAGGAGGCGTACCGACATGAACAAGAAGCTCTCAGCCTGCTTGCCCAGCTGGTCAAGATCAAAGCCCATCAGAAGCGTATTCTCACCATGAACGAGCGACAGGAGACCACCCGTTCTTATGAAATCGGTTCTCTGACTGGGACAGTTCTAGAACGCAAGGAGGCCGCCGCAGAAGCAAAGAAGCTGCCCAAGTCTTTAATGGAGGCGGCACAGAGCGTCACAGGTAAGTTTGTATTGCCTCTGTGTGCTGTAGCTCAATCCCCCTTTTCAGTCCCCGATAGTATCTCCGTGCTCCCAGATAACCTCGCTGACATGGCTGCCTGGGGTGAGACCGCCAACATCGCCATTGAAGAGGCCCGCCAAGACCTCGAGGAAGATGAAGAAGATTACGAGGCTACGAAAGCGTGCCAGCGTCTTGTTAACATGGTCGGTGGCTCTACTGAAGATTTGTTCCCGGAGCCCCACCCGGAAGACGAGACAACAGAAGAGATCACTTCCCAATTGCCTTCTCTTGAACAAACTGAACTAAATGAGGTCGACGTACTCAATATGCCAATCCTGAACTTGCGATGGGCGCTAATGGTGCACCTTTACACCCCGGTTGTCGAACAAGAAGAGTTTG